ACCTGAGTGTGAGGAGGGTGGTAACTGGTGTGTTGGTGTGTGACATCTGCACCGGTTCTGACTGCTGTTTTGCAGGTTAAAGTGTCTGTTTGAAGTGGTGGCCAAAAATATTCATCCAATAAAATGACAGCAGTAAACGCCCAGCAAACCCTGAATCTCAACCAGATCAAACAGACAACGGGGTTCACATTATTTATTTTATTTTATTTTATTTTTATTTTTTATTAGATTTTGTTTTGTTTTTTTACACTATAATGTAAATATATAACATATATATTATAAATAAATATATGCTGAATATAAAACTAAATATATAATAATAACTTTGACAGTGTTGAACAATTGAGCTGGATGAATGAAGTCAACAATGTGTGTAAAATTGAGTTAAGCGGCATGAGATTATTTACTTCTTCCCACAAACAGACATCTGATGTTTAAAACTGCAGCTTCATGCGAACATAATATGATGTTAGATATCTAATAAGTCTCACAAGCAAAGACAGGAGGTTTGTATTTGTGATTTTGGGAGGTTAACAGCATATTTAGAGCACAGTGTTTGTGAGAGACACTCGTTTGACAGACTCTAATCATGAAAGTGTCTCTGACAGACAGCGAATACAAGCCGCTCACGCAGGAGAAATCGAACGTGTCACTCGCTTCTGAAGAAGAGAAAAGACACAAATGTCTTCTGATGGACTGAGAGACTGAACTGTTTCTGTGCTCATGAAACGCCCAGATGATCTACTGCATCTTCACAGCAGAGCTCACCGCACCACACACACCGTATCCCACAATGCAGTGCGCACTGCATCCATTTCCATTGTGATGAATGACGCGGAAGTCATGCAGCATTGCAGGAGACTGCAGCACTCGTGTCTGAGACTGAATTCATTATGCATTATGACCTGATCAAATAACCAAAAATCCAAAACACAGCTGATATCACCGTCTGTTCATTCATCTTGCTGGAAATAGCAGTTCACATTGAGTGTGCTTTATTGCCGTAACTGTGTGATGTGGTTCATGCGCTGTCATGCGCAGCACTGTGTTCATTTACACGCCAGCGGTTTGAGTCGCATCTAAAAACAACGTCAAACATTTTCCAAACTTGTAGTGTGAATTATTTTTAAAGCAGCTGTTGTCATTATTATTTTTGCCTTAAATACTTAAGTATAAGTGACATATTAGAAAATATTTATTGTTTTGTTTAATATTTTTAGTAATTTTACAGTTACTGTAAACAATCTTGTTTACTTATTTTGAAGTGAAATTTTGCAGTAGTAGTATTCATTTTGTTTAATATTTTAATAATAATAATAATAATAATAATAATTTATTATTATTATCATTATTTTTTTTATTATTGCCAAATTGTGCAGCCCTACAAACAAGCACAACAAACTTGCGAGTTTTTTTATTTTATTTTTTATGCCAATTTTAATAGCAGTTTTATCGGGAAAATTACACTTTCCCCCAAATCATGCAGCCGTACTGTGCATGTAAATACTGTACATAGCGGGATACAGAATTACCCATAATCCTCTTCAAGATGAGAAAACGAATGCCTTCACATTGGGGAAAAATAAAATTACTACAAAAATGAAAGTCAGTCTTACTAATATGGCCTTTTAGGGCCCTTTCTGCTAGGGTTGCAAGATAAATCGAAATTAAATCGCAAAGGCGATAAATCGCGATTAGACAGAAGCTGCGATTGTCATGCGTATCTTTCAGTGAAGCACGGTTCTGTGATTAGCAGTAAATCTCCATTCGAAGGCCAGAGGGCGCTCTAGCGCTGAAACTCCAAATATGCCTCGCAGAAGAAACCCAGGAAATCCCTATAGCTGTAGCTGGATAAACAGAAGATTTAACTGCTTTCATGAATAAACAGAAGATTCAACTGCTTTCATTGATTCAACGTGACTAATAAACACACAACTACGGCAATATACGGTTTATCGGAGTTCTCATTATTATTGTTATAATTTTCATTAAAATAAAGTATGTTTATAATGCAATGCCTTTATCACTGCTTAGAATACTATGAAATATGTTGCGTGCCTTATTCTGTGTAAGAAGCCACATGATCTCACAGAAGGATTTATTTAAAACATTCGACTGACGTTATGAAGTGAGTTTGGAGTAAAAACATGTTATTAAATGTGGTATTTTCACATGCTTTCAGATGGAGCAGCGTTTACTACACATAGCCGTAGTTCACTGAGAAGCTACGCAAACATTTCATAATCGCAGAACGATTTCTTCGATTTCATAATCGCGCTATTAATTCGTCTGCGATTATGAACACGATTTTG